GGACTTTTCACCGTGACTGAAAGCTGGATAACAGTACTTTCTGACGTCACCGTCATTCTTCATAATAGTGACGGTGAAGTCCGGTGACGCACGACAGGTTCATCACTGCGCTTAACAGGCTGCTTACCGAAACTTCACTCAAGTAATCATAGTACTGCTAAGGCGTTACTTAGCAACACTATTCACACTGGTATATAGGAGCGTGCGGGTCGGAGACCGTACGAAACAAACCGCTCCAGAAGCTGAGTGCGCAGACAGCGCAGATAGTGCTCCGGCTACGCGCTATGGACTACTGTTGATTTGCTGAGGAAGAAACAGCGCACACTCCAGCTCCTTCTGGTGCTCACACACCTGTTTCATTCACCTCGCTTTATTTCTGCTGACTGATAACTGTTATCGTGACACATTGGGTATTAGAGCGCTTGTTGTTGTACAGTGAGAGAAAACCTGCGAGATCATGAAGTCTCTGCTTGTAGCAGTTTTAATGGTTCTCATCGCCGCCGCCCAAGTTTCCGGCGAAGAAAATGACCCAAAAGAGGACACTGATTACTGGACGAGCACTAATCAAATCCAGGTATTTATTCAGACTTATACTCTCTCCTTAATAATTCATAAATACTACTATTTAAGTAGCTCATCTTTTAGTCTCCTTCAGTCGATGAAAGCAGAATAAATGTATATACCGCCTGACAGGCGTAAGGAAACTAGTTTGACTTAAGTTTTTTTTTCTTGCTTTTTGTAAGAACAAATCCCTTTACAGAAGTATGTTAAACCCCAGCGTCACACTGTAGGGTTGCATATTTGTATTTTAAAAGATATTAAAATTACATCTATACACGAATTTACTGAACAGGTGTATATAAAGGCTTATATATTAGCTTAATCACACTTTAGGAGCGACTGGATATAAAGGCACTTTGTCATAATGGGCATCGTCACTCTGTGCGGGACATTAGTAGCGCAAAGATCCATATTGCCAGTCACAATGATGCATACTGCACGAATATAATCCTGAGATGGAAAAGGAAAATGGCAAGAAAAGATCCAAATACATTCTGCTTTACTCCGTGTATTTTATGTGGGAGGACCGGTGGGTGGGTCCTTCAGCTAATATTGATTAAGATAAGGTTCTGGCAGAATTCTCTTGTTATAATGACATGAGCAGGTAGATATGGTATTAACACAGTTGAGGTATAGTTTGATGACGCAAAATTTTTATAAAGATGAGATCCACTCTCACTCCACTCTGCCTGTCAGTGTAAGCATTCCTTCTCCCCCTCCACTCAGAATGGCTGGATTTCCAACAACCCGTTCAGAGAAGTCCTGCTGAGAATGACAAGGAAGCCAAAACCACACCAGTTTATCGGTCTGATGGGGAGGCGCTCTATGGGTAAGAGCTATTTCTTAATAAAAGTACTTCTCCTATGCATCAGTTATTCTAACCTTTCATTTTTACTTTCATCCTCCCACAGCAAACACACAGATCACCCACAAAAGTAAGTCCTGAAGTCCTTATAGCTGGAGCAATTTTCCTGCTCTTTAATTAAAACTCGGAACAAAAAGACCTGACCCCTTTGCCAATAGCTGGAGATATGTGGCCAGTTACCTCAGAGCTTTGACTGGCGCAAGCTGGTTTGTACGCTGCTCATTTGTGCACAAAAATGAATTTTAACATAACAAAATAAAGCTCAGGTAAAAATAAAGCTAAATAAAAAATTACGATTTTAAAACAAATATAAATATCAGTATGTACAGTAGTGGAAATAGGCAAATATGAATATTATTGCCAAATAAAATTGATGAATAGCTACAACCAATAGCTACAGTGATAAGAATTAAATGATCACTTTCAATTTACCACCATATCACTTGTGTGAATTATAAGTAATCCTGTTACAGTATCACTTTTAATTTAATAGAGAATAAATTACTAGTGATAATGTAATAATCCTCCCGTGTGGTGAAACGAGACTGCTCTGTGGTGACCAATCAGAGACGTGTACATCAGGTGGGATGTATTACTCATAATGGTGAGGGACTCCTCTTAGACACCTCTACCTGAGTCTTCAAGTTTTACTCCCAGAATCAGTCTTCAAGATTCATTTGTTCAGTTTGTTGACATTAGCAGCTTTCATCCTGCCGAACACTCCTGCATAGAACACCACAGCAAGGTGTAAACAGCAAGGCCTTACAAATGTAACGACCTGAGCCTTTTAGTAGATACAGGTCGCACAGATTCTGCTTCGTGTCTCATCCATGAAATAAACCCTTTTAAATGATGGAAGGGCATTAAAAAGCATTCAGGACATTAACCCATAAAAGCCCAGATACATTTTTACTGCCAGGAAAACTATGGGAGAGTCAGTGTTTAAACTTTAACAGGAACTTTCCTCAGTGTGTGAAGGGACGAGGTTCTTTAATATCAGACACACAAGCAAAGGCAAGTGTGCACGGGTCAGATGGACTTGTGTGTTTTTCTCTAATAATGTGCATTTTGACTGAGACTAAAGGCAAAAGGAAATACATCCATCCGCTTATCCTTTTCAGGGTCGCGGGGGGCGCTGGGGCCTGGATGATCTGATATC